TTGGGAAACTGATGGTCTTCAGCTGATTCCTCCACCAGCCTAGGGATTTCCTTGACTTCAGTAATGCTACAGTTCCAGATAATTCTCAATATCCTTCACAGGTCTTTTCTTTTGGTATTAGGACTTTTAATGTCATAGGAAGAATAAATTTGATTCCATATTAGATCTGGTTTTGAGAAGGGAATGGCAAACCACTTCAGTATTCTTGCCTTGAGAACCTCATGAACAGTATGAAAAGGCAAAAAGATAGGACACTGAAAGATCAACTCCCCAGGTTGGTAGGTGCCCAATATGCTACTGGAGAACAGTGGAGAAATAACTCCAGAAAGAATGAAGAGACTGAGCCAAAGTAAGTTTTGTCAAGAGAATGCACTAGTCATAGTAAACACCCTCTTCCAACAATACATGAGAAGACTCTACATGTGGATATCACCAGATGGTCAACACTGAAATCAGATTGATTATATTCTTTGCAGCCAAAGGTGGAGAAGCTCTATATGGCCAGTGAATACAAGACCGGGAGCTGACTTTGACTCAGATCATGAACTCCTTACTGCCAAATTCAGATTTAAATTGAAGAAAGTAGGGAAAACCACTAGACCATTCAGGTATGACCTAAATCAAATACTTTACAATTATACAATGGAAGTGACAAATAGATTCAAGGGACTAGATCTGATAGAGTGCCTGATGAACTATGGATGGAGGTTCGTGACATTGTACAGGAGACAGGGATCAAGACCATCCCCAAGTAAAATAAATGCAGAAAGGCAAAATGGCTGTCAGAGGAGGCCTTACAAATAGCTGTGAAAAGAAGAGAAGCAAAAAGCAAAGGAGAAAAGGAAAGATATACCCATTTGAATGCAGAGTTCCAAAGAATAGCAAGGAGAGATAAGAAAGCCTTCCTCAGTGATCATTGCAAAGAAATAGAGGAAAACAATAGAATGGGAAAGACTAGAGATCTCTTCAAGAAAATTAAAGATACCAAGGGAACATTTCACACAAAGATGGGCTCAATAAAGGACAGAAATGGTATGGACCTAATAGAAGCAGAAGATATTATGAAGAGGTGGCAAGAATACACAGAACTATACAAAAAAGATCCTCTCAGATAATGATGATGGTGTGATCACTCACCTAGAGCCAGATATCCTGGAATCTGAAGTCAAGTGGGCCTTAGGAAGCATCACTATGAACAAAGCTAGTGGAGGTGATGGAATTCCAGTTGAGCCATTTCAAATCCTGAAAGATGATGCTGTGAAAGTGCTGCACTCAATATGTCAGCAAATTTGGAAAACTCAGCAGTGGCTACAGGACTGGAAAAGGTCAGTTTTCATTCCAATCCCAAAGAAAAGCAATGCCAAAGAATGCTCAAACTATGGCACAATTGCACTCCTCTCACACACTAGAAAAATAATGCTCAAAATTCCCCAAAGCCAGGCTTCAACAATATATGAACTGTGAACTTCCTGATGTTCAAGCTGGTTTTAAAAAAGGCAGAGGAACCAGAGATCAAGTTGCCAACATCTGCTGGATCATTGAAAAAGCAAGAGAGTTCCAGAAAAACTTCTATTTCTGCTTTATTGACTATGCCAAAGCCTTTGACTATGTGGATCACAAAACTGTGGAAAATTCTTAAAGAGGCGGGAATACCAGACCACCTGACCTGCCTCTTGAGAAACCTGTATGCAGGTCAGGAAGCAGCAGTTAGAACTAAACATGGAACAACAGACTGGTTCCAAATCGGGAAAGGAGTACATCAAGGCTGTATATTGTCACCCTGCTTATTTAACTTATATGCAGAATGCATCATGAGAAATGCTGGGCTGGATGAAGCACAAGCTGGAATTAAGATTGCTGGGAGAAATATCAATAACCTCAAATATGCAGATGACACTACTCTTATGGTGGAAAGTGAAGAAGAACTAAAGAGCCTCTTGATGAAAGTGAAAGAGGAGAGTGAAGAACTTGGCTTAAAGTTCAACATTCAGAAAACTAAGATCATGGCATCTGGTCCCATCATTTCATGGGAAATAGATGGGGAAACAGTGGAAACAGTATCAGACTTTATTTTTGGGGGCTCCAAAATCACTGCAGATGGTGAATGCAGCTAAGAAATTAAAAGACACTTGCTCCTTGGAAGAAAAGCTATGACCAAACTAGACAGCGTATTAAAAAGCCGAGACATTACTTTGCCAACAATGGTCCATCTAGTCAAGGCTATTGTTTTTCCAGTAGTCATGTACGGATGTGAGAGTTGGACTATAAAGAAAGCTGAGCGCCAAAGAATTGATGCTTTTGAACTGTGGTGCTGGAGAAGACTCTTGAGAGTCCCTTGGACTGCAAGGAGATCCAACCAGTCCATCCTAAGGGAAATCAGTCCTGGTGTTCATTAGAAGGACTGATGTTGAAGTTGAAACTCCAATACTTTGGCTACCTGATGGGAAAATCTGACTCATTTGAAAAGACCCTAATGCTGGGAAAGATTGAAGGTAGGAGGAGAAGGGGACAACAGAGGATGAGATGGTTGGATGGCATCACCAATCAATGGACATGAGTTTGAATAAGCTCCAGGAGTTGGTGATGGACAGGGAGGCATGGCGTGCTGCAGTCCATGAGGTTGCAAAGAGTCGGACATGACTGAGTGACTGAACTGAACTGACTAGATCTGTTTGCCATTTCCTTCTCCATGGGATCTTCCTGACCCAGGGATCGAACCCAGGTCTCCCTCATTGTAGGCAGATTCTTTACCCTCTGAGCCACCAAGGAAGACCTCTGTTGCTTTAACATTTGTATTCTGCTGCTTTTGCTATAAGTCAAGAATGCTTCCTATAGCCTGAAATATACAGTATAGCCCATTCTTGAGGATCTGACCTTTAAGGGTATAGCATTTTCCCATCCAAACAGAGATTTAAAAGTTGCAGAAGAGAATAACATTTGTCTTGCTGGAGGTTTACAGGAACATTGTGAGCTGACCTAGTGGAGAGCTATAAGAACAAAGGATTCCTACACCAAGAAGTCTGCAATAATCAACCATTGCTCACCTTGACTTTAAAAATGGCTTGCTGAAATCCTTTGGGAAATTTGGGGCTTTTGGAGCATATGAGCCACCTGCTCTCCTTGCATGGCCCTATAATAAAGCTTCCTCTGCTCCAAATTCTGATATTCTTGTGTTGCTTGGCCTTACTGTGCATCAGGCACAGAAACTTGCATCCCTTAACAGTAACAAAAGCCAATTTAATGAAAAGAGAATGTGATGACTCCTAAAGCTTAGAATTTCAGGAGGTGGACTAAGCAAGCTTGGATCTGAGACAGAACACTTCTCTCTGCTGCGCTTGCTGGCGTTGTCCGCCAGCTCCTTGCTCTCTCAGCTCTGCTATCATTTGTGTGACCTCCAACCTCAGCTGGAGTGCCCCCATAAGGAAGCAAAACTGCACCAGCAGCTCCAGTCTAACATCCCGCTGAATTCCCAAAGAGTGACTCTCTTCTCCAATGGGCCAGTAAGAACCATAGTAGAACTCTCAGAGGACCTAGCTCTGACCCTTCCCCTGCCAGAATTTCTAGTTAAGGTTTTAATCACACTGCCTTTTCTCCCCATTTGTTGGATTGGGTCTTTCCTGCAAAATCCTGTTCTTTCCACCAGACTCGTCCCTTCTATCAGGGCCAACTTGATTTTTTCCTCATCCTTCAGATCTCTGCTAAAATGCTATTTCATTTCCCTGATTCTGGAGCACACACTGTAACTTTACATGTTGTGTAAGAAAAGGGTTAAACTTCCAGCTACACAGGGTAACTCTGTACTCATCTCCTGGGATGTCTACAAGTCTGGTCAAGGGAAGAATGAAATAAACTAGCTACAACTTTATAGTGTGCTGTTTAAAGTGTGAAATTCCCCTAGAGGCAACCTGTATTAGTTTGTCTACACTTTTTAGGGATGCACAGATTGATAGTTTGTATCTGGTTTTGCAGGCAATACAGCCTGGGTTTTTATAAAGCCAGTGCTATAAAATAGCCCTTGATAAATGTGCTCCTGGGCTCAGAGTTATCTTCCTGCTGTATAATCTGAAGATGAAGTGTGCTCTGTTCTGAGAAACTAAGAAATGACCTGGGGAGTTATACCTAGAAGTCTTGGACCCAAATATACCCTCTGTCCTACTATATTATTTACTTGTATTAGAGACTTCCTTAAGTATATCCTGTGGAATCTTTTGAATATTGTGATAATCTTCAATTATCTAAATGTGTGATAGTCAAATATGTATTTTGTGATTATTCTATTAATCATTATTTATAAAGGATGAGATGATTGGATGGCATCACTGATGCAATGGACATGAACTTGGGCAAACTGTGGGAGATGGTGAGGGACAGGGAAGCCTGGCATGCTGCAGTCTATGGGGTCATGAAGAGTTGGACACGACTTGGCAACTGAACAACAACAAAATCAGGGTCCAACCAGGGATGCAAAAACCACTCTGAATTCTTCAGACGGGAAGTTAATGTAAGGTTTTGGTGCACAGATGATAGAAGACTTTGGGGAGTCAATCAGGGCATGGTGAGGTGGCCCAGACATTAACGAAACAAAGGGAGTTGGTGTCACCCCCAGGCTAAAGTGACGGCGGGGAGGTGGCAGCACCAGAGCAGAGAGGCCAGGGTCAGGCAGTGCGAGCTGGAACTAGGGCAGCAGTCAGTTGGCAACTGGACCCACAGGGGAGACAGACGTAGCGATCACCTGGGATGCTGTCGGGGCAAAGAGGGAAACGGAGAACTAGCCTGGCTTCTCCTCTTCTTACTACGAGCAAAGCTGGTGGAGGTGATGGAGTTCCAGGTGAGCTATTTCAAATCCTAAAAGATAATGCTGTTAAAATGCTGCACGCAACATGCAGCAAATATGGAAAACTCAGCAGTGGTCACAAGACTGGAAAAGGTCAGTTTTCATTCCAGTCCCAAAGAAGGGTAGTGCCAAAGAACATTCAAACTACCACACAATTGTACTCATTTCACATGGTAGCAAGGTGATGCTCAAAATCCTTCAAGCTGGACTTCAACAGTATGTGAACCAAGAATTTCCAGATGTTCAAGTTGGATTTAGAAAAGGCAGAGGAACCTGAGACCAAATTGCCAACATTTATTGGATCACAGAAAAAACAGGGGAATTCCAGGAAAACATCCACTTTTGCTTCATTGACTACACTAAAGCCTTCGACTGTGTGGAGCACAACAAACTGTGGAAAATTATTAAAGACATGGGAATACCAGACTACCTTACTTGCCTCCTGAGAAACCTGTATGCAGGTCAAGAAGCAACAATTAGAACTGGACATGGAATAACAGACTGGTTCAAAATTGGGAAAGGAGTATGTCAAGGGTGTATATTGTTACCCCGCTTATTTAACTTTTATGCAGAGTACATCATGCGAAATGCTGGGCTGGATGAAGTTCAAACGGAATCAAGATTGCCGGGAGGAATACCAACAACCTCAGATATGCAGATGACAACATCTTATGGCAAAAAGTGAAGAGACTCTAAAGAACCTCCTGATGAAAGTGAAAGAAGAGAGTAAAAAAGCTGGCTTAAAACTCAACGCAGAAAAAAATAAGATCATGGCATCTGGTCCCATCACTTCATGGCAAATAGATGGGGAAAAAAGGAAATAGTGAGAGACTTTATCTTCTTGCACTCCAAAATTGCTGCAGATGGTGACTGCAGCCATGAAATTAAAAGACACTTGCTCCTTGGAAGAAAAGCTATGACAAACTTAGACAGCATATTAAAAAGCAGAGATATTACTTTGCTGACAAATGTCCATATAGTCAAAGCTATGGTTTTTCCAGTAGTCATGTACAGATGTGAGAGTTGGACCATAAAGAAAGCTGAGTGCTGAAGAATTGATGCTTTTGAATTGTGGTGCTGGAGCATATTACTGAGAGTCCCTTGGACAGAAAGAAGATCAAACCAGTCCATCCTAAAGGAAATCAACCTTGAATAGTCATTGAAAGGACTGATGAAGCTGAAGCCCCAATACTTTGGCCACCTGATATGAAGAGATGACTCATTGGAAAAGACCCTGATGCTGGGAAAAATTGAGGGCAAGAGGAGAAGGGGATGACAGAGGATGAGATGGTTGGGTGGCATCACTGACTCAATGAACATGAGTTTGGGCAAACACTGAGAGATAGCGAAGGGCAGAGAAGCCTGGTGTGCTGCAGTCCATGGGGTTGCAAAGAGTCAGATATGACTGAGCAGCTGAACAACGCCTTCCTCTCCACTCCTATCTCTTACCAGCATCTGCCATTGTCCTAATCTACCTGGAAGCCAGATTATGCCGAAAACATGGAAAGACAATCTGAATGGGTCACGACTGTGAGGAGACACCACAGAGGAATAGCAAGGAACAACCCCAGGATTATCATTATCAGTGCTCAGCAGATACACACCAAATGAATAAAAGCAAACTGTGTACAGAACAACTATCACTGCTGCTTCTAAGTCACGTCAGTTGTGTCTGACTCTGTGCGACCCCGTAGACGGCAGCCCACCAGGCTCCTCTGTCCCTGGGATTCTCCAGGCAAGAACACTGGAGTGGGATTCCATTTCCTTCTCCAATGCATGAAAGTGAAAAGTGAAAGTGAAGTCGCTCAGTCGTGTCCGACTCTTCTCAACCCCATGGACTGCAGCCCACTAGGCTCCTCTGTCCATGGGATTTTCCAGGCAAGAGTACTGGAGTGGGGTGCCATTGCCTTCTCCACAAGTATCACTGGTTGACTCAATGTTCTGGTGGTACCAGCCTGGAAAGGCCTAGATCTATAACAAAATGCATGTGTTGCCTAGACCAGAGGTCCCTGCCCAGAGGAAAATGTGGAGAGACACAGTCAGTTGGCCTGGCTGCTGTTATTTAGGGATGATCCTGTTGCTGATCAATCCTCCTCCTGGTTAAGCCTTTCCTTAGCTTTGCAAGACATTGCTTTATCTTGGGATGAATTACTGGTGAATCTTTATCAGTAATCCTCTGTCTATTGGCCATTTCATTTGTTCTGTGTTGACTTCAGAATTTACTTTTTATGAGGTGAGGTAATACTTATCTTACTTCCAACTCTCTTAGGAGGGAAACACACTGGAGCCTGTATGTCCCAATAACAAAGAATATAATAATCTCCCAAGTGTAAAGAATACATGGATATTTCACCTCATCTTGTAAAAAACTAAATCTATGGAAATTAAATTGTCTTTTGTGTATTAGTTCTTCTTCAGAATCTTTTTTTGCTGAAGATACAGAGGAAAGACAATTATTCTCAACTATAAATAAAACACATACACCACACAATACTCAACTATTTATCTAGGATAAAAAAAATCTTCAATGACTTCTAGAATGTTAACAGAATATTAAGTTCTTCCTTACTGCCCAGATAAAATTCATGATATGGTAACAATGATACCTAATGATCTAAGTATATTAGCATGAGCTTATTTGATTTTCATAAAAGCCCCATATACCTTCATTTGTAAACTTTCCCCAGGATCCACTGTTACATAAACACAATTTTAGGAAAAATATATACCTTAGGCAAATATTTGGAAAATAATAATGCAGTACAGATGACTATTTACTTCAAATTTATGCCTTTTGGTAGAAGCCTGAATTCTCTTTTCATACTGCTCCCTTAAAAACAGACTATTGGCTGAGTGGTTCTCTTGGGGACCTTCATGCTCATAGTGAATCTGCCTAGTTGTGAATTCAATAAAAATTGCTAAGCTAACAGCACTGGGGTTGGTTCATTTGTACCAATTAGACATGACCATATCCTGAGCATGAGGTTGAATACATCTTTCTGTCTCTCCTGTTTATAGTTTTTCAGTGACTGATAATACCAACTCAAGTTTGAAGAATCAGACACTGCCAGTGGGATATGTGAGCTTTCTCTAAGTTGCTGCTGAATTGGCTCTCACTGCTGTTCTTTCTTGTTCTTTGTAATTAAGAATGATTTAGACAAGTTTTCTCTTTTCTTTTTAAGGAGAAAGCATGTAGTAAAAAATGAACCTCAAGCCATCACTATCTAAAACTTTGCAGACAAAAGCATGCCATTTACAGCAGATGCTGCAGAGCTGCCCAGATTTCCTCTAACTCCTGGAGTACCCATTGCTCAGCTACTGTGGTTGGTGGTTGCTTTTAGCTCAGTTACCCTCTCCTCTGGAGGATTGCCCTTGGTTGACTGGAGGCAACTTGTCAGTGAGCAAGGTGAAAAATCTGAGGTTTCTAATAGCTAGCCTCCTTCCTTCTGGGCAGGGGGCAAACTCTGTGCTACAATTCATCCTCCAAAGCTCTCCATGGAATCAGGCTAGGGCTAGCTTTCTCTGTTTTAGGTCCTCCTTCTGTTTTATCCTGCTCTCATCATCTCTTAAAAGTTTCTCGGGAACACTCCCACAATAAGACACATACAAGAGTCTTCAGCTCCCTGTTTCTAGGGAGCTCAGCCTAAGACACTGCTTTCATTAGCTATCTCTTTAGACTCTATAAAAATTTGATTAGGCTCTGTAGACCAAAAAAGTGAACACTGGTTCACTATCTGCTAGAATGACTATGACTAAGAATTAGTAACTATTTCTATAGCAAATGTGCACTGTTCATCTTTGTCTGATTATCAAAAACTAGACAAAGTGTCTACAGGTTTAAGTCACTTTAGTTGACAGCCTGAAAAGGAATCTTTTACTCTTCTGATTGCCTAGGTTGGAATCCACATCCCTGTGCCTCCTTTTGTTTACTTTGCAGCCAAGATCAAAAGAAGTTTAAAAACAGATCACTTATGGAGCATGAACCAAGCAAACTAGAAACCTTATAGATGTTATTCCATTTGATTCTCACAACAGTTTATTAAAGGGCATATTATTATCCTTTCTTCATAGATGAAATTGAGGCTCAGAGACAATTTGTAACTTGACGCAAAGACATGAGACTAGTAAATGGCAGAGTGAGGATTCAAACATACTGACTACAAAACCACACTCCTAACCAGTTCAGCCAAGTGTGCATTTGAAGGCCAGCGTAGAGGAGGGCGGGCTTCCCAGGTGGCCTTAGTTGTGAAGAACCCACCTGCCAATGCAGGAGTCACAGGAGATGCAGGTTCAAACCTTGGGTTGGAATATCCCCTGGAGTAGAAAGTGGCAACCCATTCTAGTATTCTTGCCTGGAAGATTTCACAGACAGAGGAGCCTGGCAGGCCACAGGCCATGGGCTGGCAAAGAATTGGACGTGACCGAGTGACTGAGCACGCAGAGGTGGGTGTAGAGAACAGTATTTCCCCCTCAGCTTCAGCTCCTGCGCATCATTCCTGCAGCACACTCTGTTGGTGACCACCTGGAATCCAGGGGTTTCTTTTCCCATGTTGTGCACCCGACCCAGCTACTTCCCGCTTTCCAGCCAGTTGCTCACACCGTGACCCACCAATTCAGTTCGCTGGGCTGCCCTTGAGCACTGGAATAGCCTTACAGGCACTCCCTCTAGCCGGTAACTGATTGGCCTGGGAATCCAGAAGCCCGGCGCCCTTCCCTGGCGCTCTGCAGCTCGCCAAGGGCTGCATGGAAGCTGGGGTTTCATCAGAAAGCTCCCCATTTCTGTGCCTGCCTCCTTTTCCCGTCACTGGCCTCCTTCCCTCGTCTGGCCCCCCAGGAACCACTTCCTTGACAAACCACTTGTATCTGAATTCTTGGCTCAGCGTTTCTTTTTTTAAAAAGTTTCCTTTCATTTTATTTTTTAGGGCATAGTTGCTTCCCAACGCTGTATCAGTCTCTGCTGCTCAGCGCAGTGAGTCAGCTGTGTGTACAGACAGCCCCTACTCGAGACTGCCTTCCATTCAGGTCTCTGCAGGGCATTAGGCAGAGTCTCCTGTGCGTCAAACAGGCTATCCATCTTATACACATTAGTGTATATATGTCGATCCCAAGCACCCAGTGTATCCCCCTCTCCTTTCCCTCCCTGGTGTCCTTTTGTTCCTCTATGCCTGTCTCTCTATTTCTGCCTCGCCAACAGGTTCAGCCATAACATTTTTCTAGATTCCACATATACGCCTTAATATACAATGTTTTTCTCTTTCTGACTTACTTCACCTAGAGATTGTATGACAATCTCTCTAGGTTCTGAGAGAATCTTAACTAAGTTAATATACATACATATATATACTTATATAAGAATAAAAGAGGCAAATACTACTGATAAAATCACTTAAAAAAATTTTTTTTTTAATTTTTCCCATGCTGGACTTCTGGATCAACTTGTATTTTTTTAATTTTGTTGTTTTTTTATTGTAAATTAATGCATAGCTTTTGTAAGAAAGAAAAAGATAGAAAAAATGGATGAGCTACATAAGACAATAACAACCAATGCATAATTCTAAAACCCAGAAAATTACTATTTTATGTGTTGCATATTTACAAGTATGAGATCACTATTCATACTATTTATAATACTTTAAATTAATATTTTTAAGTTTGACAGATGGTCTTTCTAAGTCAGCAAAATGTCCTCTCCAAATATTTTATGCTTATATGGAATTTTATATGATAATTTGGTAGCAGTGGGGCCAAGCTCCCAGGTGATATTGATGCTGCTGATCAATGGACCGCTCTCTGAAGAGCACTGATGGCCTTATGGGACATCAAAGACCTTTGGCTTTGCTCTGTTTGAATTTAGAGTTGAACTCAAAATAAACTATGCCACTTGAATGTCCCCTCACACAAGTCCCATTCAAACATGTTGCTGAGTCATTTGAATGAGTATAAACACTTCATATATATGAGAGAATTAATAGGATGTGACATTAACACATTCTCACAGTTTAGGTTGCAAACGGTTGAGGGTGATCACAGAATAGCACTGTCTATGAAACTGGCGTTGAGAAACTGTTGTATTTACCAGAGTGACAGCAAAGAATTAAAGACTCTGAAAACCTATTGCAGACTCATTTTTCTTGTTCTTGAATGAAACCATGGGTAGGCATCTCCTTTTACATTCAAGAAATAGAAAACCCTCCAGTTACTATGGGAAATAAAATGTCATGTCCTCAAGAGCTAGCTTGAAGGAGCGTTCACTGACCAACTCAGGAACAATTTGAACACCAAGATACATAATAACAGTATAGGATTATAACCTTTTGAGTGAAAAAGCAAAGCATGAGTTCAGACCGATTACATAATCAACACATAAACTAATGAGGAAGAAGAGAAAGCTCTGACCAGCAATACAAAACCAACTAATAAATGCAGAAAAATAATAGGATTAGAAAATAATCTTATGGCAACCATCACTGTAACAATTATTCCAGGCAAAAGTCATCCATGAATGCTAACATTAGTGGGTAAAAGTCATTGGAGTAACAGGAAATTTATGTAGTTTCAAAGGATATATCCATGAGATTCTTATTCAGTACAAAAGTAAAAAGAAGAACTCTACAGAGGAGAAACCAGGTAGATACCATTTTTAACCAAGGGATGCAAGTTGACCAAGTTTACAGCATCAACATCATGGACCTCATGATATGATGTACTGAAAAGAACACAGTATCATTTCTGTGGTATTCCTGCCTAAGGTGCACCACTTAAATCTATTCTACAGGAGATAAAAGACAAATCAAAATCAGTTAAGGACCATTTTACAAAATAACTAGCCTGTTTTCTTCTAATATACTAATGCCAATAAGAAAGACAGAAAGATAGAGAAACTGTTCTAAGCCAAAAGAGACCAAAGAGATGTGACAACTGAATATAGCCCATGATCTGGAACTTTTTTTCTATAAAGGATCTTATTGGGACAAACAACAAAATATGAATAAGGCACTTATATTAAACAGTTAATTGAAATATTAATTTCCTAATTTTGGCAATTACAGTGTGGCTATATAAACAATGTCCTTGTTATTCTGGGAAATACATATTGAAGTATTTATAGGTAAAGGCATAATGTCTTCAACTGAAAAATAGTTCAGAAAAAAAATTACACACACATATACACATCGAAAAGGGAGATAAAGCAATGTGATAAATAACATTTAGGTAGCCTGGGTGAAGAATATTCAGGAATTTTTGTAAAATTCTTGCAACTTTTCTCCAAGACTGGTGTTAAATCAAAATGTTTAAATGAAAAAGCAAACTTTCCCAAAAAACTCATAAAACAAACAAAATTTAGTTCTGTCTAAGAGCAAATGTCCAGGCTCCACGTTATAAAACGTGTAAGTAAGCAGCGTAAGCTCCCTTGGGGAAGGTGGGCCTGGTTTGCTACTTCACTCCCTCATCCTGCCTACTCCCTGACTCTCTAGCTACTGTTCAAGGCTTTTCCACCTGTGGAAAGTGAGGGAAGGGACTGAAGGAAAGGGGCTTCATGGTGTACATATATTTATGTACGTACACACACATGTGTGTGTGTGTGTGTGTGGCTGACGGAGTTGTAGATTGGAATCGATGTCCTCTGGTAAGGCAGATCCTAAAATAGACTCTGTCAATGGGGTTTTGTATATATTTTTGGAGTTCCTGCCCAGGACCCATTGCATTTCTTGCTGCAGATAATGCTCCCACTCATTTTTTTACTTAGTAGAATGCTTCCAGCCATGGTCAGTTTTAAGTCTTAATTATGAGAACAAGGATACTTAATCAAACACTAATTGTTAGGTGTTGCTGTGAAGGAACTGGGTAGATGCAGTTAACATCTACAGTTAGTTGACTTTACGTAAAGATTATCTTCAATAGTCTGGGTGAATCTGATGCTATTGGTTGAAAGACCTTAAGAGCAGAACTGAGATTTTCCTGAAGAAGAAATTCCACAGTGAACTTCAGGGGTAACTCTTGCCCAGGACTTTCCAGCCTGCCTTTCCTGATGACTGGCTGCCATGCCAGCCCCACAATCATGTAGGTCAACTCCTTGCACAAATCTCTTTATCTACCTACCTACCTATCTATACCACCTATCCATCTATACTACTCCTTCTATTTCTCTGATAGAATCCTGACATACCTCTTTTCCAAGTATGAGTAAGGCCCCAGAACCAGGTTTCAGTGGACATTTGTGAAGTTTCATGGTAGGTCCCTTATATCCACCCTCCCCTTCGCCCCATACATACTTGCCTTAAGGAAAAGTCACATACGGTATCTAGTCCTTCTCTGTCATATATATGTTTTTATCTGGCATCTGGAAATTTTGTCCAGAGTATCAGCTACTGCATGAATACCACTTGAACTGCTTCTCAATTGCACAAGATGCTGGGGGCAAATCCCCCTTGCTGAGGAAATGTTTATTTTGTAGCAAACAGAATATAAGGGAGTGCCCTTTTAAATTTTTTGCTAGAGGACTCAGAGTCATAGATGTTGTCTTAGTTTTGGTCTTTCCAGAAGCAACCTCAGACAAGGATTTTAAGTTTCTGGGAGGTAACCCAATAAAGCCAGAATGGGTGAGGACAGGGGAGGGGCGGCGCCCAGTGAAGGGCACGTTATCAAACTACCACCAAGGGCAACTTGATCCTCATCTCTCTGGGGCACTCTCGCTGACAGTGAGAATGTGCATTTCAGAATAATCTCACCAGAATGATGAGGGAGCTGGGGTGCTGATACACTGAATCTGTTCAGTCATTGAGGGCTTCTTCCAAGAAAGTGCTCATTCTCATGTACTTCAGCCCTATGGTACAAGTTTAAGTGTCACGGGCATCTTATAGCATCTGGAAGTCACGCCTGTGAGTGCTATGATTCCAAAACAGAGGAGAAATGGGTGAAGTGTCAACAGTGTCTCCTGGAGGCATCAGTGTTTATTTGACCCAAAGTATCTAATGCATATCATTTATGATGATGTGTGAGAAGAAAACTGCTTCCTTAATGTATTAAAAAGGGCTTCTCTTCCCTAATATTAAATAGCTTTCATTCAGTTCCACTAAAAGGATATCTTTAACAAACATAATGATGTACATCTTGTAAATTCTTTGATGATTACACTATGTTTATAACCAAAAATGCCATTTTTCTACTACATTCTTGAGGAAGATTGAGTAATTTATCCAGAATGACATGCAAATCATTGCAAAATAAAACATGACTTCTCTAGACAGCTAAGAATATTTACAGTTGTTAAAGCAAAGACAGATATTTTGTTACAGTGCTTAACTTGTGAGTTGCTTTGACTTTGATGGGAATCTACTTTCTCCAACATTTGGTCCCTGGGCCTCAAAATGTTGTTTATTCTGAGATGCAGCCGCTGTGCTATACGTCTTGAAGCTAGCTTCCACTGCTTGTGCTCTCTCTGTGATGTGCTTCTGAAAGGGCATCATGAAGTCATCAAAATCTACCTCATATGTGAGCCTCTCCCGGCGCAGTTCCCTCATTCTGATCAGCTCTGCTGTCGTGGCTTCAGGACTCCAGGTCTTAAACAAACAACCACATCCAGAGTGAATGTTAGCATGGCAGCCAATAAACATGCCAATATCCAGACAACCTTCAATCTGGTCAATTTAAAACTATCCAATTTACTTCTGGCAAGAGGAGAAGGGACGACAGAGGATGAGATGGTTGGATGGCATCACTGACTCAATGGACACGAGTTTGAGCAAGCTCCAGGAGACGGACAGGGAAGCCTGGCGTGCTGCAGTCCATGGGGTCACAAAGAGTCAGACACGACTGAGTGACTGAACAACAACAACAAATTTTAAGTCTATTTTAACTTTTATCTCTTACATGACATTAGCGGTTACATGGGCGTCACTGTTTCTGATGGTGACTACTTGAACAACTGAAATGCCCTTCAGTTACCTCTCTGATGACCCTGAGGCCTGCTGCTGTTCATTCTCAGGATGTCAAAACCAGGAAGCAATGGAATTAATAGACAGTTTACTGTCTTCATGTGTTATGGGGAAGTAAAAATTATTTTTACAGCAGGGGGCAGAAGGAGCTGGTGGTCTATTATTCAGCATGGTTTGATAAGCATTAGCAAGACCACTCTTGTTCTCCAAATATTTCTTCATCTCTTTAATTGTAGATGTTTAAGGAAGCTATGTACTAAATCCAGTCTTGATTAGTATAAAACTCCCAAGTAAGATGGTAGTAGTGTGTACAAAGAGGAAGGGTTGGACTTTAAGAAGTACTCAGAGAAAGTATCTATAAAATTCAGTGACTACAAGGCTACAAGGAATGGTACAGACCAAAGACAACTTCAATTGTTCAAGGAAAATTAAGAAGTCAATACAGAAAATAAAAATACAAGATATTGGAAGCTATACAAATTGGACTAACTTAGTTGTCAGCAGTAGGATCTAGAAAAAGGACAACTTCAAATAACAACTATAAAAGATAAGCTTTGGAGAATTGTTTGGGTGCTTTGCATAAAAAGTATTTGAAAAAAGGCATTAGGAGTTTATACCACGTTACGATCTTTCTAAAGTACTTACTCTCTGTGGGATAAACGTGATATCCACTTTCTTGGTAGAACCACTGGTAATCAATGAATTGAGATGAACTACATTATCTTTACGCATCTTCTTTTCCTCCACTATGGCTGGTACAGTGTACATTGCTGAAAGTGTTTCCTGGAAATGAGCAAAAAACCAAAAAACTATCAATGTCAAAAACCTGTGTATACTTTCTAATATTCTGAAGTTGAAAAAATACTACTATACAAATTATAATTTGAAATGAAATAGAATATTTTTATAACTTTGGGTGGGGAGAGATAACTCTTTTGCGTTGTTTAACTTAATTAGTGTTGGTGACCAATCACAAAAGCCTCCAAGATCCATCCTTGATCTGTGGCCATTATTAATCAGAAGGATGTATTCCTACTAAAATGATAATGGTACATGTATTAGGAGCTGTAAATGATCAATCTTCCTTTACCTCTGACTATCCTTACTCTCTTCCTCCATGCTTATTACTCTCTACCATCTGCTGATCATTCCTTCAACTCTGTCTGCTTCCTATCATCTCTAACCCTTTCCAATTTGATAATGTTAAAACTTTTCCTTCCTGAAATTCATCCCCTATCCTGTGTCAGCCAAAAATCTCGAGGGATCCATCTGTTTCCCTAAAAGAAGCTTCCAGCCTAGAAATGTACTTAGAGCTTCCTGCTAAGGACAAATTCTTGATGTCTGGGAAACCCCCATGAACAACAACCTTCTACTGATAATTTCAGTTCAGTTCAGTTCAGTTGCTCAGTCGTGTCCAACTCTTTGCGACCCCATGAATAGCAGCATGCCAGGTCTCCCTGTCCATCACAAACTCCCAGAGTTTACTCAAACTCATGCCCATCGAGTCAGTGATGCCATCCAGCCATCTCATCCTCTGTTGTCCCCTTCTCCTCCTGCCCCCAATCCCTCCCAGCATCAGGGTCTTTTCCAATGAGTCAACTCTTCGCATCAGGTGGCCAAAGTATTGGAGTTTCAGCTTCAACATCAGTCCTTCCAATGAACACCCAGGACTTATCTCCTTCAGGATGGACTGGTTGGATCTCCTTGCAGTCCAAGGGACTCTCAAGAGTCTTCTCCAACACCACAGTTCAAAAGTATCAATTTTTCGGTGCTCAGCTTTCTTCACAGTCCAACTCTCACAACCATACATGACCACTGGAAAAACCATAGCCTTGACTAGATGGACCTTTGTTGGCAAAGTAATGTCTCTGCTTTTTAATATGCTGTCTATGTTGGTCATAACTTTCCTTCCAAGGAGTAAGCATCTTTTAATTTCATAGCTGCAGTCACCATCTGCAGTGATTTTGGAGCCCCCCAAAATAAAGTCTGACAGTGTTTCCACTGTCTCCCCATCTATTTCCCATGAGGTGATGGGACCAGATGCCATGATCTTAGTTTTCTGAATGTTGATCTTTAAGCCAACTTTTTCACTCTCCTCTTTCACTTTCATCAAGAGGCTTTTTAGTTCCTCTTCACTTTCTGCCATAAGGGTGGTGTCATCTGCATATTTGAGGTTATTGATATTTCTCCCGGCAATCTTAATTCCAGCTTGTGCTTCTTCCAGCCCAGCGTTTCTCATGATGTACTCTGCATATAAGTTAAATAAGCAGGGTGACAACACACAGCCTTAATGTACTCCTTTTCCTATTTGGAACCAGTCTGTTGTTCCATGTCCAGTTCTAACTGTTGCTTCCTGACCTGCATATAGGTTTCTCAAGAGGCAGGTCAGATGGTCTGGTATTCCCATCTCCTTCAGAATTTTCCACAGTTGATAATTTAGAGGGACCCAAACCATTCCAGATTACCAGGAACAATTTGGCACATTTAAAGCCTTCTAGAGTCATTTTGCAGGATTATCCAAGTTACATATCCTAGGGTTCATAATAATAAAAATTCCTTGGGAGTTGGGTGGTAAAGTGGGTAGTGAAAGATTATGAAATCAAAATGAATGAAAATCATGCTTTACTTCTTTTCTCGTAAATGTTACCCTACACTTCCCTTTTGGGACACCTTATCGAATCTGTGTAATTCAGGTCTAAGTGTATATACACTTCTAATATAAGTTCTTTTTTCAACATTCTAACAGTATTTGGTTCAACCAATTTGTTTTTTGTGTGGATTCTGTTTGCAATGAGAACTTTTTAGACTTTTCAGTAATAGGAAATTTCTTGCTAGATATTTATTTAGAACTATTGCCTACTGGTCCTGAAAACATGGACTGCATATTATTTGCCCATGAACTGTAACAATAAGTAAATGGTGCTGCAACCACACCAGGTACTAATGAGGAGTCAACTGCTTCCCCCTTTTTTTTTTCATTTATTTTTATTAGTTGGAGGCTAATTACTTTACAATATTGAAGTGGGTTTTGTCATACATTGAAATGAATTAGCCATGGAGTTACATGTATTCTCCATCCCGATCCCCCCTCCCACCTCCCTCTCCATCCGATTCCTCTGGGTCTTCCCAGTGCACTAGGCCCGAGCATTTGTCTCATGCATCCAACCTGGGCTTGTGATCTGTTTCACTATAGATAATATACATGTTTCGATGCTGTTCTTTCGAAACATCTCACCCTCGCCTTCTCCCACAGAGTCCAAAAGTCTGTTCTATACATCTGTATCTCTTTTTCTGTTTTGCATATAGGGTTATCATTACCATCTTTCTAAATTCCATATATATGTGTTAGTATGTGGTAATGTTATTTATCTTTCTGGCTTACTTCACTCTGTATAATGGGCTCCAGTTTCATCCATCTCATTAGAACTGATTCAAATTAATTCTTTTTAATGGCTGAGTAATATTCCATGGTGTATATGTACCACAGCTTCCTTATCCATTCGTCTGCTGATGAGCATCTAGGTTGCTTCCATGTCCTGGCTATTATACACAGTGCTGCAATGAACACTGGGGTGCACGTGTCTCTTTCAGATTTGGTTTCCTCGGTGTGTATGCCCAGAAGTGGGATTGCTGGGTCATATGGCAGTTCTCTTTCCAGCTTTTTAAGAAATCTCCACACTGTTCTCGATAGTGGTTGTACTAGTTTGCATTCCCACCAACAGTGTAAGAGGGTTCTCTTTTCTCCACACCCTCTCCAGCATTTATTGCTTGTAGACTTTTGGATGGCAGCCATCCTGACTGGCGTGTAATGGTACCTCATTGTGGTTTTGATTTGCATTTCTCTGATAATGAATGATGTTGAGCATCTTTTCATGTGTTTGTTAGCCATCTGTATGTCTTCCTTGGAGAAATGTCTGTTTAGTTCTTTGGCCCATTTTTTTATTGGGTCATTTATTTTTCTGGAATTGAGCTGGAGGAGTTGCTTGTATATTTTTGAGATTAATCCTTTGTCTGTTGCTTCATTTGCTATTATTTTCTCCCAATCTGAGGGCTGTCTTTTCACCTTGCTTATAGTTTCCTTTGTTGTGCAAAAGCTTTTAAGTTTCATTAGGTCCCATTTGTTTATTTTTGCTTTTATTTCCAATATTCTGGGATGTGGGTCATAGAGGATCCTGCTGTGATTCATGTCGGAGAGTGTTTTGCCTATGTTCTCCTCTAGGAGTTTTATAGTTTTTGGTCTTACATTTAGATCTTTAATCCATTTGGAGTTTATTTTTGTGTATGGTGTTAGAAAGTGTTCTAGTTTCATGCTTTTACAAGTGGTTGGCCAGTTTTCCCAGCACCACTTGTTAAAGAGGTTGTCTTTTTTCCATTGTATATCCTTGCCTCCTTTGTTGAAGATAAGGTGTCCATAGGTTTATGGATTTATCTCTGGGCTTTCTATTCTGTTCCATTGATCTATATTTCTGTCTTTGTGCCAGTACCATACTGTCTTGATGACTGTAGCTTTGTAGTAGAGTCTGAAGTTAGGCAGGTTGAGTCCTCCAGTTCCATTCTTCTTTCTCAAGATTACTTTGGCTATTCGAGGTTTTTTTTATTTCCATACAAATTGTGAAATTATTATTTCTAGTTCTGTGAAAAATACCTTTGGTAGCTTGATAGGGATTGCACTGAATCTATAGATTGCTTTGGGTAGTATAGCCATTTTGACAATATTGATTCTTTCAATCCATGAACATGGTATGTTTCTCCATCTGTTTGTGTCCTCTTTGATTTCTTTCATCAGTGTTTTATAGTCTTCTATGTATAGGTCTTTTGTTTCTTTAGGTAGATATACTCCTAAGCATTTTATTTATTTTGTTGCAAAGGTGAATGGTATTGTTTCCTTAATTTCCCTTTCTGTTTTCTCATTGTTAGTGTATAGGAATGCAAGGGATTTCTGTGTGTTAATTTAATATCCTGCAACTTTACTATATTCATTGATTAGCTCTAGTAATTTTCTGGTAGAGTCTTTAGGGTTTTCTATGTAGAGGATCATGTCATCTGCAAACAGTGAGAGTTTCATTTCTTCGTTTCCTATCTGGATTCCTTTTACTTCTTTTTCTGCTCTGATTGCTGTGGCCAACACTTCCAAAACTATGTTGAATAGTAGTGGTGAGAGTGGGCACCCTTGTCTTGTTCCTGATTTCAGGGGAAATGTTTTCAATTTTCCACCATTGAGGGTAATGCTTGCTGTGGGTTTATCATATATAGCTTTTATTATGTTGAGGTATGTTCCTTCTATTCCTGCTTTCTGGAGAGTTTTAATCATAAATGGGTGTTGAATTTTATCAAAGGCTTTCTCTGCATCTATTGAGATAATCATATGGTTTTTATCTTTCAATTTGTTAATGTGGTGTATTACATTGGTTGATTTCCAGATATTAAAGAATCCTTGCATTCCTGGGATAAAGCCCACTTGGTCATGGTGTATGATTTTTTTAATATGTTGTTGGATTCTGTTTGCTAGAATTTTGTTAAGGATTTTTGCATCTATGTTCATCAGTGATATTGGCCTGTAGTTTTCAAAATACTCGAGGAGATAATAGCTGAAAACTTCCCTTAAATGGGGAAGGAAATAGTCACCCAAGTCCAAGAAACCCAGAGAGTCCCAAACAGGATAAACCCAAGGCGAAACACCCCAAGACACATATTAATCAAATTAACAAAGATCAAACACAAAGAACAAATATAAAAAGCAGCAAGGGAGAAACAACAAATAACACACAAAGAGATTCCCATAAGGATAACAGCTGATCTATCAATAGAAACCCTCCAGGCCAGAAGGGAATGGCAGGACATACTTAAAGTAATGAAAGAGAATAACCTACAACCTAGATTACTGTACCCAGCAGGGGTCTCATTCAGATATGAAGGAGAATTCAAAAACTTTACAGACAAGCAAAAGCTGAGAGAATTCAGCACCACCAAACCAGCTCTTCAACAAATGCTAAAGGATCTTCTCTAGACAGGAAATGCAGAAAGGTTGTATAAACGTGAACCCAAAACAACAAAGTAAATGGCAATGAGAGCACACCTATCAATAATTACCTTAAATGTAAATGGGTTGAATACCCCAACCAAAAGACAAAGACTGGCTGAATGGATAGAAAAACAAGACCCCTATATATGCTGTCTACAAGAGACCCACCTCAAAACAAGAGACACATACAGACTAAAAGTGAAGGGCTGGAAAAAAATATTTCCCGCAAACGGAGACAAAAAGAAAGCAGGAGTTGCAATACTCATATCAGATAAAATAGACTTTCAAATAAAGGATGTGAAAAGAGACAAAGAAGGACACTACATAATGATCAAAGGATCAATCCAAGAAGAAGATAGAACAATTATAAATATATATGCACCCAACATAGGAGCACCACAATATGTAAGGCAAACGCTAATCAGTATGAAAGAGGAAATTAATTGTAACACAATAAAAGTGGGAGACTTTAATACCCAACTCACAACTATGGATAGATCAACTAAACAGAAAATGAACAAGGAAACACAAACTTTAAATGACACAATGGACCAGCTAGACCTAATTGATATCTATAGGACATTTCACCCCAAAACAATCAACTTCACCTTTTTCTCAAGTGCACACGGAATCTTATCCAGAATAGATCACATCCTGGGCCATAAATCTAGTCTTGGAAAATTCAAAAAGATTGAAATCATTCCAGTCATCTTTTCTGACCACAATGCAGTAAGATTAGATCTCAATTACAGGAAAAAAAATTGTTAAAAATTCAAACATATGGAGGTTAAATAACACACTTCTGAATAACCAACAAATCATAGAAGAAATCAAAAAAGAAATCAAAATATGCATAGAAATGCATGAAAATGAAAACACGACAACCCAAAAGCTATGGGACACTGTAAAAGCAGTGCTAAGGGGAAGGTTCATAGCATTACAGGCTTACCTTAAGAACAAGAAAAAAGTCAAATAAATAACCTAACTCTACACCTAAAGCAATTAGAGAAGGAAGAAATGAAGAACTCCAGGATTAGTAGAAGGAAAGAAATCTTAAAAATTAGGGCAGAAATAAATGCAAAAGAAACTAAAGAGACCATAGAAAAAATCAACAAAGCTAAAAGCTGGTTTTTTGAAAAAATAAACAACATTGGCAAACCATTAGCAAGACTCATTAAGAAACAAAGAGAGAAGAACCAAATTAACAAAATTAGAAATGAAAATGGAGAGATCACAACAGACAACACTGAAATACAAAGCATCATAAGAGACTACTACCAGCAGCTCTATGCCAATAAAATGGACAACTTGGAAGAAATGGACAAATTCTTAGAACACTATAACTTTCCAAAACTGAACCAGGAAGAAATAGAAGGTCTTAACAAAACCATCACAAGCAAGGAAATCAAAACTGTAATCAGAAATCTTCCAGCAAACAAAAGCCCAGGACCAGATGGCTTCACAGCTGAATTCTACCAAAAATTTAGAGAAGAGCTAACACTTATCTTACTCAAACTCTTCCAGAAAATTGCAGAAGAAGGTAAACTTGCCAACTCATTCTGATCAGGCCACCATCACCCTAATTCCAAAACCAGACAAAGATGTCAACTGCTTTTCATACCTCTTCCTTCTTAATTTCCGGGCCTTCAGTCTTTGCTTTGGGTGGTGGCTTGCCTTTTGGTTTTTTATTTTCTGCTGGTTTGGGCAAGTTATCCAGCTTTTCTTTAATCAAACCAATTATTCTACTGTCAGCATAAGCTTTTGCAACATCCATGGCAGCATGCCCTGTTTAAAACATAAATTTAGAGTTTCGTTAAACAGATTAATAATAAACCATGTAGCAAAATCTCAGCTCATCAGCTCTAAGCATATGGTACTAAGGGTGATTACTGAAGTCAGTGATACGTATAAAAGTCACAGATTGGTTCAGATATTCTCTAAAGTGCCCCCAGCTCTAAAATTTTATCATTTAAAGTGCCATTTACCAGCAAAACCATTTCTTCTTGTTAATTACTTTGAGCATGTTTGATAGGAGAGTGGTAGATTACATTTTGAATATCTGAGTGCTAGTTCTCTTCCCACAGTGTGCACATTCCTTCATGTGTGACAATTTTATGCTTTCCTCCTTCCTGTGACGGAAGGAGGTATATTCAAAAAGTCTGGGGAAGCTGGAAGTCTTAAGTACTCTATGCAGATGGCTGGATATTATGACCCCTGTTACATTCTCAGGCAGGCCTAACAATACTATCTGTGACCCAGAGGCAGCCTGAAGCAGTCAAAGCTATTAAAGCTCCTTCAGGTCAAAAAGAAGCAATGAGTCCCACTCTCAAAACACCTCCACTTTCTCATGCAGAAAATTTATGACATCAAGTAGGCTTCCCATTTACTTCCTAGGAGTCTTATTTCAGGAATTACTGTTTAGCTGTAGAAAGACTCTAAAGTCTACAGGGGTTTCTAACTATGCCAATTGTTAGAAACTGACAGCTAAAACACTGTGATGACTCAAAATGTGATGTGCATACTGGTGTCAGTCTACATATTAATGGAATGGGCTCCCAGTGAAGTAAGTACAGGAATTAAAGAGTAAATGTTTAGAAATTTTTATAGCAATTTTATAGAATTTTTGTCATTTGAATCCAAAGATTTTAAAAAGTTTGGGTTTGTATTTTGTGGGTTTTTTTTTTCCTCTTCATTTTTCTAGTAAATCATTTTTCATTGTATTTTACAAAAGTCTCAGTCTACAATGATTTACCCACATAGAGAACTGATTCTTTAACACTAGTGATTTGAGAAGCACTATGTACAAGACAGAGTTCCATAACATTTAACTCCGGTTAGTTTTTGCAACAGTAACTTAAGGGAAAATGTGGTCCTGCAAGAATAGATTTAGAAGGCTTGGGAATCTAACACAAATCCTCCTTTTCTAGCTCTAATCACCTATAATGAAACACATACCTTTCCTATTCTCCAACTGGAATTTAGCACCGATGTCAAGTAGGTATTTTACAGCATCCAGTCTACAGCTCTCAATGGCTCTACTTAAAGGAGTTGAGTTGTTGATTGAAAGGGCATCTACCACGGCTCCAGATTTAACAAGAAGCTCAACAATATCTTGTTGGCCAGCATGGCATGCAAAATGAAGAGGAGTCCACAGAAAATTATCTGTTGCATTAACATTAGCCCTGTAAAATGAGAGAGATACACAAGCTAAAAATATGGATTGATCCAAGCATTGGAGGCTAAAAATTCCAAGATTTCATAGCTTTATTAAGTTGTTGAACTGTAAACCAAGAAAGATTTGGGTCAAGTTAAACTCTGTGCCATAATTTTTCTTGAACTGTGTTCTGCATCTGATAGTCAACTTTCTTTGTGTATATATACATTATGTTTAGTTTAGAAGCTGCTTGGATCCTAGGGGTTACAATTTTTGTTAGATGTTAAAATCAGGGAAAATTATAAAACTGGATCCAGTGAAGATCAAAGTTGACAGGAAATAGAAAAGCTACATTACTTAATTTTGTATCTACTTCCTCTGTGTGTTATGAATTTTTAAATGCACCATCACTTTTAAAATTCTAAGCAATAAAATCTATCAAAAATTTTGTACCAAAAATGGTACAAATGAACTTATTTACAAAACATAAACAGACTCTTAGACTTCGAAAACAAACTTCTGGGTGCCAAAGAAGAATGGATAAATCGGAAGTTTGGGATTGATATATATACACTACTATATATAAAATAGATACTCAGTAAGGACCTCCTGTGTAGCCTAGGGAACTCTGCTCAACATTCTGTAACAATCTATATGGGAAAGAATATGAAAAAGGGTGGATACATGTGTATGCACAACGGAATCACTTTTCTGTACACCTGAAAACTAGCACAACACTGTAAATCAACTATGTTCCAATACAAAACAAAGATTAAAGGAAAAAATAAAAAGCAAAAAAAGCAAATTAATTCTTTCAATTTCATTAAAAGCAATTTATCATTCAGAAACTACAAAAATAAAATAAAATTTTAGTCCCATTTAAAATTCACTGCCCCAAACTTCAAATTATCATTAGTTGCTTTATGTTACCTCTTGACAATAAACACATTTAAATCTTTCTTTGACATTAAATGTTATAGTAATAATAACAATATCTTTTATCAAGTCTGCAACTACTGGGCTTCTAAGTGCTTTGCATGTTTTAACTCATTTAGTCTTCAAGAAATTCTGTGAGCTGAGTTCCATTATAGTGAGAAAACTGAGGCACAAAAAGGTTAAGAAAGTTACACCAGGTTATTCAGCAATGGTAAAAAAAGAAGGACTTAAACCAGAGAAATTGCTTCTGATTAAAAAGTTAAATAAAATGTCATGCTTTGTTATCTTAAAGATATTTACAAATGAACCGAGGAAAAGGGAATGAAACATGCCTAGTCATTTAGTCGTTATGTGCATGCTAAGTTGTTTCAGTCATGTCTGACTCTTTGCAACCCTATGGACATTGCCTGCCAGGCTCCTCTGTCCATGGGATTCTCCAGGCAAGCGTACTGGAGTGAGTTGCCATGCCCTCCCCTCCAGGGAATCTTCCCAGCCCAGGGATCCAACCGAGTCTCTTATGTCTCCTGTACTAACAGGTGGGTCTCTTCCACTAGCACCACCTGGGAAGCCCACTTAGTCTTACAGCCACTGTCAAATTATTTGATTTGTTGGGATGCCCTCAAAAAAAAAAAAAAAAAAGCAGATTTAAAAATGGCTCCATGTAAAATGAATACATTTTAAAGATCTGCTCTACAATACTGTGATTGTAGTAAGCAATATTGCACCATACACTTAAAATTTAAGACGGTAGATCACATGCTATTTTTGACCACAGTAAATAGTTCTAATTTAAAATAAAATAAAAGGCACTCCACAGCATCTAGGTTAAGCTCTGAGTCCAAATTAAAATTGTTTTGGGAGGCCAGGGACACCCAATCATAAGGCTTCTTCCACCGCTAGAGTGAAAACTTCTCAGCTTTCACTGTGGCATTGTCCTACACGCTCTTAATGTTCCCATTATCCTGGTCCACCATATAAGGTCTACTTGGGATCTAGACTTCAGAAATGAAGCCATTTCTTGCCACTATTTAAATTCTAGAGTTGACTGTTTCTTAGCCTTCCTTTCACTTCCTTGAAATGTGAAGGCTCCCAAAAATCTAAATTGCACTCAAGGAAAAGACATACCCTTTTTCAAGAAGAAACTTGACTGCATCGATGTTTCCAGTGGCACATGCAGTCATTAGCGGTGTCTTATAGTAATTATCCTTCATATCCACAGGTATTCCTGATTCAAAAGCCTTTTTCAGAGAAGCCAGGTCTCCTGCCTTGGTGATAAAATTAATGTTTGAAAAGACCTTCCCTGGATCATCAATATACCAAGCAGAGTCATCCTGAATGGGATGTTCTGGGGGGTGATCTCTGTTAAAGCGGTTGCAATCAGTCACATTCTTGTAGGTTTCGATCATATAATAGGGCGGCCCACCGTCGCTGCGGCGTGGAAACACGTGGTCGGGGATGACACAGATGGGGAGGGGTAAAACAAACTTGCCCATTCTGGCTTTTTTGGCCATCCCTTTTTTCTTTTTCTTAGGCCCATAGGATCCCAAAACATAAGACTTACTTAAATATCTGGTCCCTTTAAAGAACTCATTAATATTGACCCCTCCACCCCGGACTTTTTCGTGAAGTTGAGCTATAGCAGCCAGCTGCTCTGAGTTCACAAAATCTTGCCTCTCCTCCAGGGTCAGCACAAAGTCCTCCTTGGTGACTGTCCCATCGCCCCTGTCCACAAACGAGAAGGCTTCCCGAAGGAAAGTCTCATGTTCTACTGACCAATCGTGAAGTCTCAGGAACAAGGGCGGATTCGGATTTTTGACCCCTGGCCTGGCCAGTTTATTAGCGATTTGCTCTGCCCGCCGTATTTCTTTGCTGGCTGCTTTGAAGCCGCCTTCCTTAGCCAAGTTCCTCGGTGTTTTATGCTCCAGATTCTTCCATCTTAGGTCACATCCTAAAACAGGAAACATCATGATTATGAATGGTGCTGGGGCATCTGCCTGGGTTCACAAATGACATATATCTGTTGTTGTTGTTGGTTTTTAAATTTCCAGCGAATAATCAAAAGTTGGTTCCCAAATTATCTGTATATAGAGGTGAGCACAGTTAGTTATTATAATTACAGAATTAATCTATGATTACCCTGCTCAAGGTTATGCAGCAACCTGGTTGGAGGGGAGTTTGGGGGAGAATGGATGATACATTTATATGTATGGTGGAGTCCCCTTGCAGTCCATCTGAAACTATAATAACATTGTTAATAGGCTATACTCTAATAAAAAAGTGATTCCCTGTGGCTCAGTGGTAAGGAATCTGCCTGCCAGTGCAGAAGATGTAAGGGACTTGGGTTGGATCATTGGGTCAGGAAGATCTCCTGGAGAAGGAAATGGCAACCCATTCCAGTATTTTTGCCTGGAAAATTCCATGGAACGGAGGAGCCTGGTGGGCTATAGTCTGTGGGGTCACAAGAGTTGGACACAACTGAGCATACACACACTCAACTCATATATAAATTAAAACTTTTAAAAAATTTAATAAATAAAAATTATTATTAACATATGCAGAGTACATCATGCAAAATGCCAGGATAGATGAAGCACAATCTGGAATTAAGATTGCAGGGAGAAATATCAATAACCTCAGATATGCAGATGATACTACCCTTCTGGCAGAAAGCAAAGAGGATCTAAAGAGCCTCTTGATGAAGGTGAAAGAGGAGAGTGAAAAAGCTGGCTTAAAATTCAACATTCAAAAAACTAAGATCATGGCATCTGGTCCCATCACTTCATGGCAAATAGATTGGGAAACAATGGAAACAGTGACAGACTTTATTTTCTTGGGCTCCAAAATCACTGCAGATGGTGACTGCAGCCATGAAATTAAAAGATGCTTGCTCCTTGGAAGAAAAGTTATGACAAATCTAGACAGCATATTAAAAAGCAGAGACATTACTTTGCCAACAAAAGTCTGTCTAGTCAAAGCTATGGTTTTTCCATTAGTTATGTATGGATGTGAGAGTTGGACCATAAAGAAAGCTGAGCGTCGAAGAATTGATGCTTTTGAACTGTGGTGTTGGAGAAGACTTTTGAGAGTCCCTTGGACCACAAGGAGATCAAACCAGTCAATCCTAAAGGAAACCAACCTTGAATATTCATTGGAAGGACTGATGAAGCTAAAGCCCCAATACTTTGACCACCTGATGCAAAGAGCTGACTCATTGGAAAAGACCCTGATGCTGGGGAAGACTGAAGGCAGGAGAAGGGGATGACAGAGGGTGAGATGGTTGGATGGCATCACCAAATTAAGGAATATGAGTTTGAGCAAGCTCTGGGAGATGGTGAAGGACAGGGAAGCCTGGCGTGCTGCAGTCCGTGGGTCACATAGAGTCACACACAACTGAGTGACTGACTGAGCAACATTGTGAACACAAAAACTTAAGCTATATTTTTTTTCTTTCTGTGAGCTTCAGTTTGGTGAATTTTGAGGAAGATGTTCTTTCCAGTGAATAGTATCTATCCCCAAAGGATTAAGAAATCAATCCCTGTAGATATTTGAAACAAATATCATATTAGAATACCCGCTAAAGAGGTTTCATGCCAAGTGGGAAAGAGTAAAGAAGACATTTAAATTTGGAAAGAAGCTGGATTCAAACAGCTTAAGCAGGACTTTAGGCATCTAAGATGCTGACTCTTGCTTCTTTTGAACAATTATGACTGTTAATTTGTGTAAAATCTTAAACTATTTTATCTGTATTTTCCATGAAATTCATGTAATTTATATTGACCTGCTATTTTGCAGTAAGGTCATAAGAACAGCCTGAAAAAGTAATCTCATCAAATCTGAAAAAATTCCAGTGTAAGAGTTGTGCAATTAGGCATTAAAATTCATTTTCCTTTTTTAGTCTCTGACTTAAAATGATGAGACTAACATCACATGTAAGCATTCTCCAAATAAATAAGCTTTTCTGAATGCATCAGGGAGTCTACTTAGTGGTATCAAGAGGCTGTGTTGTCTGTAATAAGTGTCTTAAGACACTAAAAACCCATTATAAGTCAGACTATGAAGATATTCATTCTAGCGTTTTCAATCTATGAGGCTCTTATGTTGTCTTGCCAATATCACATAATCAAAAAAGATTCTCTAGCAATCAGTATCTCTAGCATCCAAAATGTAAAGGCAGCTGCATGTGAAAATATAACATCCCCCTCCAACACTTCATAATTTTATTCCTTTTCAAAAAGAAAATCATTAATCACTGGATGATTAATGATTTCAGCATTAATACTTCTGGCATTGTCAAAATTAAAATTTTATATGAAGGCTGGTATATTTATTAGTGATAGGAAAACTCAAAAAGGGTACTTCAGACAAAAATATTCTATAATTTTTATATTGAACAGTTTGAAGAACAGTGTGACTTATTGGGAAAAGGACCTGAGCCTTGTCTCCACAGTATAATAATTCAATAGTGTAATTCCATAGTCATCTTGAGTCTGCTACTTTTACTTAGCTTTTTCACTCACTTGGGATGTCTGGGGGTTTATCTGCCATCTCCCAGTTCACTCCTGTATTCACCAGCATCTTTGGATCAAAGATGCAGCAGCACCAAGGATCAAAGGGTTTTAAAGCTGCTTTATCTTGCCTTCTTATGCTCCTAGCTTCCTCCCAGTTAGCAATTTTCTGTGGAGTAAAGACCCCCACATCCAAGCTTAAAGATACGAAGGCATTTTCCTGTCTTTCTGACTTTTGTCTTCTCTTTTATTGTTAGTAAATACAGATCCATTCATGCGCTCTGTGATTTATGTTCCTCTGTCACTGAGACACTTGACTTTCGGCTGACTGCTGTCAAAAGCTCCGTGAGGAGATCCCTCCATGGAGGCTTCAGGACAGCTAATCTAAACTCCCCTCCACTCTCCTGGACATGGCCTCACATTGCCTACAGGGAAGTGTAAATTACTCCAGGGACAAGATCAGGAACAAAAGTGGAGCATACTGAGGAACTAGTTTCTTGGGGGAAAAGAATCCAGCCTTCATATTTAAGGATAGAAGAGACTACACCCAGGGAGTTTACTCAGAAATGAGCATTTCGTGGCTAATGGTTTCCAATTGCTCTGATGGCCTTAGATCCAAGATTCTAAAGGTGGAAGTATAACTGATAACACTCTCATGTGGAACGAGGTCACCCATATAGCACCTGGTGAAGCAGTTGTACTTCCAAAGATGCTAGGGAACTCAAAACATTTTCAGACATTTGTTTCAGAAACAGTCTAGTCTTATGAGTCTTCCAGGAGGGTCAATCTTTTCTGCATCACCAGCAAGGCCTTTGGCAAGCTCTGGCCCTGTACTTCTCAATTTGCTTTCTCTGATTTTATCCCAGAAGGACATAAATGGTAGAGTATATATTGAGGGATGTTTCTCCCAATAAGAAAAGAGTCAGCATGTTAAAGTTGAAGAAGTTTGTCTCAATCTGGGCAGATCTCTAATTTTTAGAAATACACAATGTGAAAAATGAAGTGTCAGGATAATCGGCTTGTGGTGAGAGATTTGGAAACAAGATTTGAAAACTGTCTCTTCAGAGACAGTTGATGAAGGCAAAAATTGCATTTGGTACATTTTCCATTATCTCTTTATTTTAGGGGGATGGGGAAAGAATGTGAGCTTTGTATAAGGTAAAAAAAAAAATCAAAGTGAATCAGTTACTACACCATTAGTTATGCAGGTATGTTAGTCTCATTTATAATGTTAGTGCTTACAGTATAGGCTCTCTCGGGTCCCAGTGACTTCAAAATTTCTGTGCCTGCATAGAAGACAGGAAAATGAAAGCACTTTTTCTGCTCTATGATAGTGCTGCTGAACGTTAAGTTTCTATTTCTCATAAACTGGAAAAAAATAACTCACTAACATAACATTCAGCAGCATGCAGTTCCCTCTCTAACAAAGAGTTAATAACATTGAGTGTATGTTTAATTCAGTTCAGTTCAGTTCAGTCGCTCAGTCATGTCCGACTCTTTGTGACCCCATGGACTGCAGCACGCCAGTCCTCCCTGTCCATCACCAACTCCTGGAGTTTACTGAAACTCATGTCCATCGCATGGGTGATGCCATCCAACCATCTCATCCTCTGTCAACACCCTTCTCCTCCCGGCTTCAATCTTTTCAGCATCAGTGTCTTTTCAAATGAGTCAGTTCTTTGCATCAGGTGGCCAAGTATCGGAGTTTCAGCTTCAACATCAGTCCTTCCAATGAATATTCAGGACCAATTTCCTTAAGGCATGTAATTAACACAAAATTAGTAAAAATATTTAAACTTAATTGGCTAATATTGCTATTTAAAATTTTTTAAAATATTAACTATTTTAAGGAATTGTTGCTGTTTAGTTGCTAAGTCATGTCTGACTCTTTTGTTACCCCACGGACTGTAGCCCGCAACCAAGGGATTTTCCCAGCAAGAATGCTGGAGTGGATTGCCATTTCCTTCTCCAGGGGATCTGCCCAATGCAGGTATTGAACCTGTGTCTCCTGCTTGACGGGTGGGTTCCTTACCACTGAGCCGCGTGAGAAGCCCATTTCAGGGATACATTCAGCTATGCACAACATAAAAGAAGCCCCAGTGTCTCAGTGGTGAAGAATCTGCCTGCAGTGCAGCGGGCACAGGAGACCGGGGTTCCGTACCTGACTTGGGGAGATCCCCTGAAAGAGGAAATGGCCATCTATTCCAGTATCACATGGACAGAGGAGCCTGGCAGGCTACAGTCCACAGCGTCTCAGAGTCAGACACGACTGAGCAACTGAGCACACACAACATGCATAACATAGTTTATATTCTCAAACTAACAGTTATTTAAAATATACAGAAAAATCTAAAGTAATAAATATTACTTATATTTCAAATGTTCCACTGAAGTTTTCATTTTATTTAATGCTTCTTCCCCAAAATATTTCCCCCACAATTTAAAATTTTCCAAAATGTTATCTTTGCACTTGACATGATAGTATATTTTCAAAAATAAAATAATTAAGAATTTGGACATGGTTTCTAGTGTTTGTCCTTTTTAAATTGATGCTGCTGCTGCTAAGTCGCTTTAGTCGTGTCCGACTCTGTGTGACTCCATAGACAGCAGCCCACCAGGCTCCTCTGTCCCTGAGATTCTCCAGTCAAGAATACTGGAGTGAGTTGCCATTTCCTTCTCCGTTTTAGACTGATATTTATATTTGAAAAAATAAGTATCTTAGTAATTGGTTGACTCATAAATAATTCTGTTTAGATTTTTAATAATAATCTAAAGATACTTGAGAAATGAATTTTTATTACTTTCTAGGTCAGATTTATGATTTAACAGAAGGTAAATAAGAAAAAATTTAATTTTCTTTCTACAGAGATAAGCAACTGATGTTGACATGCTGAAATTCTCTGCTCATCCGCAATGTGGGGATATCATAAGTTCTTTAGACATAAAATTGGTAGACCATTTACCTCGCTGAGCTATATATTTACAGCAATCTGCAAAACCACCCATGGCAGCATAATGAAGTGGTGTGTTGCCATTCATTGCAACCAGCCCCATGTCTCCGTTGTACGCAAAAAGCAGCTTCAGTATCTGCAAAATAAATAGTGGATATTGTAGAGGAATAAGAATGTATGTTTACTGGTTGAAAAGTCAGATCTAGACCTGTGCTATCCAGAGTGTCAGTTTGAATTAAGTTGAAATGAATTAAATAGAAAACAAATTTTAAAGCAAGGTGAAAAGACAGCCCTCAGATTGGGAGAAAATAATAGCAAACGAAGCAACAAAGGATTAATCTCAAAAATATACAAGCAACTCCTCCAGCTCAACTCCAGAAAAATAAATGACCCAATCAAAAAATGGGCCAAAGAACTGAACAGACATTTCTCCAAGGAAGACATACAGATGGCTAACAAACACATGAAAAGATGCTCAACATCACTCATTATCAGAGAAATGCAAATCAAAACCACAATGAGGTACCATTACACACCAGTCAGGATGGCTGCTATCCAAAAGTCTACAAGCAATAAATGCTGGAGAGGGTGTGGAGAAAAGGGAACCCTCTTACACTGTTGGTGGGAATGCAAATTAGTACAGCCACTATGGAAAACAGTGTGGAGATTTCTTAAAAAGCTGGAAATAGAACTGCCATATGACCCAGCAATCCCACTTCTGGGCATACACACCGAGGAAACCAGATCTGAAAGAGACACGTGCACCCCAATGTTCATCGCAGCACTGTTTATAATAGCCAGGACATGGAAGCAACCTAGATGCCCATCAGCAGACGAATGGATGAGGAAGCTGTAGTACATATACACCATGGAATATTACTCAGCCATTAAAAAGAATTCATTTGAATCAGTTCTGAGATGGATGAAACTGGAGCCCATTATACAGAGTGAAGTAAGCCAGAAAGATAAAGACCATTACAGTATACTAACACATATATATGGAATTTAGAAAGATGGTAATGATAACCCTATATGCAAAACAGAAAAAGAGACTCAGATGTATAGAACAGACTTGTGGACTCTGGGAGAAGGCGAGGGTGGGATGTTTCAAGAGAACAGCATCGAAACATGTATATTATCTAGGGTGAAACAGATCACCAGCCCAGGTTGGGTGCATGAGACAAGTGCTCGGGCCTGGTGCACTGGGAAGACCCAGAGGGATCGGGTGGAGAGGGAGGTGGGAGGGGGGACCGGGATGGGGAATACATGTAAATCCATGGCTAATTCATTTCAATGTATGACAAAAACCACTGCAATGATGTAAAGTAATTAGCCTCCAACTAATAAAAATAAATGAAAAAAAAATACAAATAAACAGCAGAACAACAACAACAACAACAAAAAAAGAAAACAAATTTTAAATATTCAGTTCCTTACTTTGACTAGCCATAGTCTAAGGACTCAAAACCACATGTGTGCTGTAATTGTATCATATTGTACAGCCACATACAGAACACTGTCAGAAGTTCTAGAGCAGGGATCCTCAACCTCCAGGATCTAATGGCTGATGATCTGAGGTGGTGATGTAACAATAATAGAAATAAAGTACACAATAAATGTAAAGTGCTTGAATTATCTTGAAACCACAGCCACCCCCCCACCCTGCCCCCCACAAGTCTGTGGAAAAATTGTCTTCTGTGAAACTGATCTCTGGTGCCAAAAATGTTGGGGACCATCTATCTAGAGTATAGAAAACTCTAAACTCAGCTGGGGCACTACCATTTTGGTAAATTTAGGCAACTTTAGAATGCATCAGACTGTGGCAAATCAGGGCAGCAAATTCTATGCCAGACAGATGTGATTTTTACTGTGATGTATACTTTTATTGCAGGTAAGAGACCCAGTGACAAAAGTAAAAATAATGTTAGAACTAAGAAAAGAAATTTTAGATATAATTCAGAATTTAAAAAAATAGGATAGCATTAAAAAAAATAGGATAGCATTGAGTTCTAGTTTGTTTCTGCAGTATCACTATATGTATGAGATATCTTTAGCTGATATATCCAGATAATCAGAATACTTGAGAGTTAAAAACTTAGGTGAGTCACTAGATGTACTTAAACATCAAGGAGATGAGATTAGGCCTTGGCCTCCCCCAAATTAGATCATACTGTACTGTGAAAATTCTCATATGCAATGGAGTCATAAAATAGAGTAGTAGTATGTGGCAAAACTTTTCAGTTGTCATAACTGAAAGAAAAAAGTGAAAGTGTTAGTCGCTCAGTTGTGTCTGAGTCTTTGCAACCCTGTGGGCTGGAGCCCACCAGGCTCCTCTGTCCATGGAATTCTCCAGGCAAGAATACTGGAATAGGTTGCCATTTCCTTCTACAGGGGGTTTTCCCGACCCAGGCCTTGAACCCAGGTCTCCCACATTGCAGGCAGATTCTTTAGGGTCTGAGCCCCTAGGCAAGCCCAGTTAAGAACATAGAAAAAACATTATTAATAATATTAGAAGAGTAAATTAGCAAGCAGATAAAAGTGAATAAAGAGCTAAAATAAGCCTTGAAGGATAATATCTGGTATAAAATACAATTCTGGAATTATTTTATAAAATCAAAATGCAAAAAAAAAATCTGTCAGTGTAACTTATACTATATTTTAAGATGCTGAGGAAAAGGAGAATATTTTTAGCAACAAATTTTAAAGAATATAGTAGATTATTACATCAAAAAAGCCTCCTTTGGCAGCAAAGTGTGCGGCATGATGTCTGTCATTGTCAAATGCACTCACGTCCGCTCCTCTTTCCAATATCCCTCGAACTAGCTCTGTCACTCCCTCTCTTGATGCTTCCATTAAAGCCGTGCGACCTGTGGACTGGACATGAAACAGACCAGACGCTGTTTATCCCTGTTATACTAAATGCCACGTTCAGTATTAATATGGTCTAAATCCATTTGGCCTTAGAGTCACACTGACGTGTTCAGTTTCATACAGTCATATTGGTTTCATGTAACAAACAGGAAACACGAAGTCAGGAAAATGGGTCAGTGTCCAAAATGTAGAATTCTATAATCAGAGTCAAGGTCACACCAGATTTTCCTATGAGAACATCATGCTAAAAAGTGCAGTTTCTTGCCAAGAAAGTAGAGCAAAAAGGGAGAAGAGAGAGTAAAACGTATGCTAAAATTAGGCTATAGGTGTTTTCTAATGAGACAAAAATCCATTTTTATTGTCGGGAAATGACAATTAAAAGAAAACTCAGTAAAATTAGCCAAGTGAGGAGAGGAAGCAAAATAAGGGAAACAGCAAAGCTACATATTTACTGTAGAAGGTAAATTTTTATTAGGCATCAGGAATATCTTTTCTAGTTCCTGTAATGATCTTTTAATATTGTACATAAAAAATACCAATCTTTCAAACATAATTAGGAAACAGACCATAGAATCATGGCCATGCCATATAAAGATAATGAAAGTCTATAATTTTAAAGCATTTTGAACAGAAATGAAAAGTCTGTAAGCTGACAGGATAATTTTACCACATTCAAGTGAAAAAATACAGTAACAGGATTCTGTAATTGAAAAAAAGGAATATATAATCACAGAAATAGTCTTACTGTGTTGATAGCATTTGGATTGGCTCCTTTTTCCAAAAACGTCAGGCACACATCCTTCACATCATGCGCTTCTTCACAAGCTCTAAGGAATATCGGCTTTCCCTCACAGGTACAGTTGTTGACGTCCGCACCATGTTCCAAGGCAATCAGCGCGCACCGATAATGCCGCTTAGTAGGTAAAATGCAGTAAAACAAAATACCTGTAGAAAAATAGAATCCCCAAAGAACACGTAACTAGCAGTCTCTCTACATTTGAGTCAGATAGGAAGGAACAAAGAATAATTTAAAAATTCATAATTAGCTAATTGAAGGTGATAGAGCAAAGGCATTTATGCCTTGGTTTTCTCTCAGAAATCAACTGAAACACCAAGACAGAGAAACCAAAAAGGAAACCCAACCTCTGATAAGAGCTAGAAAACAGTCATAACCAAAATGTGACAGGATCTTGTCTGAGAAGAATCTGAGTGCTGGAATGTGAGCCCTTGTTGACCCTGGGTGTTTGGCATCCTGCAATCTATACACCAGTGTCCTTCTTAGAATGTGCAGGAGTGTTGTGTGCCCAAGGGTTACTGGTGATCCCTGGACCCCCTTCGAAATTGCAGAATGGCAAGGGAGATAGTATTGAATGATGAAATATTTACCAGCCATGTTTACAGGAAGCAGGCTGTCTGAACAGTTGCAGTGAGAAGAAAAAGTAGATGGCAATTTGTTCACTGCAGAGAGAAAAATGCTAACTCCTCATATCTGGTATCTGTGACATACAGACCCTCAACATAATCCATGTCAAAAATGTACTGCAGACCAGGGGTACTGTTTATAAACCCCAGTCAGAGTTTTCTTAAGAAACTCAAGTAAACAGCAGACAAACTCCAAACTGACTTTGTAATGACTTCACTCTAAAAACAGACTTCATTCAAATAGGAACAGTAACCAACAAAAAACCAGCATACTACCTATGAAAAAAGATACTGAAAGAAAAGGAAAGGAAGCTGACAAACACTAGGCAAAAATTATATACTCAAATAACTATACCACACGAAAATTACTGACCGACCCATTACTGATAACAAAAATTTGCATATAACTTTTTCTGAAACAAAAATGTAAAGGTAGACCAAACCAAAAAGATAAATAGAAGGAAAAGATGAATTTGAGCAAGTATATCTTAGAAAAGAAATGGGAGAGAAAAATAAAACCACTAAAGAAATGAAAGTCACATGGGAGCAGGAAAAAAGACAGCAGACATTGCCAAAACCATGGACAGGGACATGGAGGAAAAAGTTGAAAGAACTTGAAAAAAATCCAAGAGTTTAAATGGTCTAGAAAGGCAAATAATATTTAACATGTGTGTAGTTGGTGTTCAATAAAAGACCAAATGGAACAGAAAAATGGAGAGATATAATAAAAGAAAACCCTCTTGGAGTAAAAACCTAGATCTAACAGGATATACTGGATCTCAGGAAAAGCTGTTTAGGGACAATCCATAATATGTGCCTAGACAAAACTAGATAAAGAAAGTGTCCTGTGAGCAGCCAGTTAAAAATTCAAGCCATCTCTAAAGAGGAAATGTTTGGCTGCAAGACTTTGCACAGCAACATTCAGTGCTAGAAAATAAGCAAAGGAGTTTTACAATATCACTTGGAAAAGAAAACAGGGGATTTTTAACACTCAGTCAAGCAATTGTTCATATATAAAAGCAATGAACATATAAGTTTAAAGATGCAAGAAATCAAAGTATATAAGCCCAAAGGAGTGAGCTAAACTACTCAATGACAAAATGAGTCTAACAGGAGATTAACAGGGAATATGTGACCCATGATAGGCACTGAATCCCTTCAATCATTGAATCAAAGCTCAACCACTTTGGGAATTCTAGATACAGAAAAGAAAATTGTAGTTCACAACAATGTGGAAATAATAAGGACATTTAACAAGACTGGTAGGGAAGAGAGGAAAGGAGAGTTTAAGCATTCAATTTTCTTTATCTTTTATTGCTGGAGTTTTGAGATATTATTAAAAGCAGATAAAAAGGTATGAAAAGAATTATTGAAAGAACTAAAATGATTATAATTTACTAAAATTAGATACTGGAAGGGAGGTGACAGGAAGAATTTTTGTACCAATCTCATCTTTCATAGAAAAATATCAATGAATACTGTTTAGTGTGCTGATTTGATAAACAGAGGTTTATGTATATGTAAAGCTGTCAAGTTAGCCATTAAAAGAACTAAAAACAGACTATTAATTTTAGAAAATATGAGAAGGAAGATATATACACATATAATAAAACAAAGATCATATGGACCATAGAGAAAATTATTTTTATATGTATTTATCTGTGTATTTATATAAATTAAATATATTATGCTTTGATAGGATAAAATAAATGACAGTTTTGTGGAGAATGCAGATAAATGTAAATTGGATAATCTCAACCATTAAAATAAAAATACAATTTATGTGAAAATCAAAACTGAACTATATTTCATATAAACATGCATCTGAAATAGTTACTCAAACAGTTAAAAACAGAAAGATGGTCAGGGACATGTTGAAAATGCAAAACCAAAAACAGAGAAGTCATAGCAGGCAAGAGTGAACCAAAACAACAAAAATGCAGCAATTCCAGGTTTTGTCATTTTTGTTGTTTTGGTTCACTCTTGCCTGCTATGACTTCTCTGTCTTTGATTTTGCATTTTCAACATGTCCCTGACCATCTTTCTAGTTTTAATTGTTTGAGTAACTCTCATTTTAAAATTTTTATTTCATGTATTTTTATTTTAATGGTAGAATTTATCCAATTTACATTTATCTAGATGCTCCATAGAACTGTCATTTCTTTTATACTATGAAAGTATCACTTGCACCATTCCCCCACCTCCCCAGTCCACAGAAAAATTGTCTCCCACGAAACCAGTCCCTGGTGCCAAAAATATTGGGGCCACTGCTGTATAGAGCTTTGAAAGGCTTCTTTTTTTTTTTAAGAACAAAAACATTAAAAAAATACATTTGACTCATGAATACATTAAATAATTAAATAGTTGTTCCTTTTCTTTGTCCTCTTCTCTTGTTATAAGCAAGTCACTTATCAAATACCATGTCCACAGAGAGTTACAAAAGCAGATTCTGTTCCTGTCAGAAAACATTAATTAATGGTATAAAATGGGATTCATTTCTCTAATGTGGGACTGATATTAATGGCTTTGTACTTGAAGAAATTCTTTGGAACAACTGATTAAATCTACCAGTTTATATTAAGCCTGGTGGTAATTTTCTTAGTGATTTTCATGAGGCTGCATCACCTCCTGCCAGAACCTTGAGTTATTTGGATAAGAAGCTCCCAGATCGTGGTCTTAAGATGGGATTTGGGAGGGGAAGAGTGAGATAGTGCTGTCTCACCTGAATAATCACAATAATCACAGACATGCCATATTTCTATGATTAAGTCATATTTCCAAATATATTTTTAAAACAACTAATAGAAAGTTGGAGCTTATGTCAGAATCCACCTTAGTTCCTCAAGTTCCCAAATGCAACTACTTTCTACACAGACTGCTCTTGAGAGCAAAACCCTAGTTCAAGTTATTACTTGAGGTTCTAACATGTAAAATTCTAAACGGATTTTACATTTTACAATAAGTGATTATGATTATGGAAATATGTTTGTCATGTTGAAAGTTCTCCACATTAAAAAAAAAAAGATCAATTCTAATATTTTTTCTCAATGAGAAAGTTCTCAGAACTGGTTTTCCTAAGAAATATCTACATTGTTTTCAAATTATGGGGAGATGTAAGAGTGAGAATCTAGCCTCTCACTACTACATGCCATGAGTAACTCCCTTCTAAAGTCTGAAAGCAAAAATGCATTATATTGATTTCTAAAGTTTGTAAGAAAAAATGCAAATCAAGTTGCATTTACTAGATAGAATGCTAAGAGTTTTTACCTTTTCCTTCGTTATCAACAATAGTCATATCAGCTTTTGCTTTGGCTAATATTTCCATGGACAATTCGTGGCCCAGTTCTGCAGCCCTCATAGTCGGAGTACAGCCCATTTTGTCTTGCACATCAGGGTGAGCACCAAGGCTCAGGAGAAAGCTGACCATGTCGATGTCATTGGAAACTGAGGCTAAGTGCAGAGCACTGTTTCCATTGACCGGGTCTGTGAAATTGATGAGTTCAGGATATCCGAGCCTGGTCAGCTTCTCTATCTGCTTCTTGTCTTTGTTCCGAACACACTGAAGAACTTTGTAGATCTGCAGGTTCTCAAGTCTCTTATCTGCTAAAGCCATAGTTGACCGGCTTCTTCCAACGCCTTTGTGGGCCAAACCAAAACTACAGCAGCAAAAATCAAAGCAAAACATGCAACTCAACGTTATTTTCTTCATCTTTACTTTGACTAAATAGTATTTTAAGGTTTTCCTAAGAAGAGATGCTGCTTCTTATGAAACATTACCATAATTTATTGCAACTAATTTCATGAAAGCAAAAATTACACATAAGCAAAAAAATACTCAGCTAGCAAAATGTTAAAATATTTCAAAACAAATCTTCCATCATAAAGTAAGCTGGTTATGCCATTTTCTTATCTCATTTAATCATCCCTCCTTGACACAGCCTTACCGTTTACCCATGAGAAAGGTGAGGTCAACTAAACTGCCAAGCTTCCCACTACAATGTTCTGTACCAGCACATCTGTACCAGCACACAATGTAGAGAACACACAGATTACAGCAGTTTGAAAATGCTGTAAAGACTGTGTAGAAATGTGAGCTGCTCATTATAAACGAATCTCTTGAGCTCTGTGAAATACCAAACATGTGATGGATGATTCCTATTTTATCTTATGTGGGGATAAGGCAGGTAAATGACTGAGACACAACTGTAAATTTTCAATAAATAATCCCACTAAGTTGCAATAAGCCTTCTAATACATAATTTTATCTTTTATGGCTTATTCAATTCCAAAAAACAATATTTTGAGTCTAGTAGTAGACCATGTGGTGGTTGTTCTGTCGCTCAGCTGTGTCTGAATCTTTGTGACCCCATGGACTGCAGCACGCCAGGCTTCCCAATCCTTCACCATCTCCTAGAGCTTGCTCAAACTCATGTCCATTGAGTCAGTAATGCCATCCAACCAACTCTGTCATTGCCTTCTCCACCCGCTTTCTATCTCTCCCAGCATCAGGATCTTTTCCAATGAGTTGACTCTTCACATCAGGTGGCTAAAGTATTGGAATTTCAGCTTCAGCATCAGTCCTTCCAATGAATATTCAGGACTGATTTCCTTTAGGATCGCCTGGTTTTTTCTTGCAGTCCAAGGGATTCTCAAGAGTCTTCTCCAACACCACAGAGTTCATTAGCATCAATTCTTTGGCACTCAGCCTTCTTTGTGGTCCAGCTCTCACATCCATACGTGACTACTGGAAAAATCGTAGCTTTGACCAGATGGACTTTGTTTGCAAAGTAATGTCTCTGCTTTTTAATACACTGTCTAGGTTTGTCATAGCTTTTCTTCCCAGAAGTAAGCGTCTTAATTTCATGGCTGCAGTCACCATCTGCAGTGATTTTGGAGCTCAAGAAAATAAAATCGTCACTGTTTCCATTGTTTCCCATCTATTTGCCATGAAGTGATGGGACCAGATACCATGATCTTAGTTTTTTTAATGTTGAGTTTTAAGCCAGGTTCTTCACTCACCTCTTTCACCTTCATTAAGAGACTCTTTAGTTCCTCTTCACTTTCTTCCATAAAGGTGGTGTCATCTGCATATCTGAGGTTATTGATATTTCTCCCTGCAATCTTGATTCCAGTTTGTGCTTCATCTAGCCCAGCATTGTACACGATATACTCTGCATATAAGTTAAATAAGCAGGGTATGTACTCCTTTCCCCATTTTGAACCAGTCTGTCATTCCATGTCCCATTCTAACTGTTGCTTCTTGACCTGCAAACAGGTTTTGCAGGAGGGAGGTCAGGTGGTCTGGTATTTCCACCTCTTTCAGAATTTTCCACAGTTGTGATCCACACAGTCAAAGGCTTTAACATAGTCAATGAAGCAGAAGTAGATATTTTTCTGTAATTCTCTTGCTTTATCTATGATCCATTGGATGTTGGCAATTTGATCTCTGGTTCCTCTGCCTTTTCTAAATCCAGCTTGTACATCTGAAATTTCTTGGTTCACGTGTGGTTGAAGCCTAGCTTGGAGGATTTTGACATGACCTTACTAAGCATGTGAAATGAGTGCAACTGTTAGGTATGAAATTAAAAGATTCTTTCTCCTTGGAAGAAAAGCTATGACCAACCTAGACAGCATATTATAAAGAAGAGACATTACTTTGCCACCAAAGGTCTATACACTCAAGGCTATGGTTTTTCCAGTAGTCATGTATGGATGTGAGAGCTGGACCATAAAGAAGGCTGAACACTGAAGAACTGATGCTTTCAAACTACAGTGTTGAAGAAGACTCTTGAGAATCCCTTGGACAGCAAGGAGATCAAACCAGTCAATCCTAAAGGAAATCAACTCTGAGTATTCACTGAGAGAGCTGATGCTGAAGCTGAAGCTCCAATACTCTGACCACCTGATATGAAGAGCTGACTCAATGGACAAGACCCTAAAGCTGGGAAAGATAGAAGGCAGGTGGAAAAGAGGATGACAGATGGTTGGACGGCATCACCGACTCAATGGATATGAGTTTAAACAAACTGGGAGATGGTGAAGGACAGGGAAGCCTGGTGAGCTGCAGTCTGTGGGGCTGCAAAGAGTTGGACATGACTGAGCGATTTCTACTTCACTTTACTTCCTGCCCCTGGAACCACTTGTTGCCTCTGCCTACAGTGTTCTTTGCTCAGAATTTCTGTTGGCTAGCATTCTCACCACTCAAATTGCAGCCAAAATGTTACATCATCCTTTTGTTTTATTTTCTTCACAATATTAAGTAAAACAATTCTATATATAACATCTAGAGACCTGAAAATATAGACATATTCCATTTATGGAGTTTATATGGAGTTTATTCCATTTATAGAGACACAGTTGTGTCTCTCCCACTAGTAGCCAGTCTTCAAGGCATAGAAGCTTTATATTTTGATTATCATTGTCTCTCAATCACCCAGAACATGATTTCTATGAGGCAGTCAATAAATATTTCCTCAATAAATGGTGACTGAAGGTTAAAAACCTGAGTGGAAGAAACAAAGAAAATGCCTAGGTTTCTGGTTTGAGCAACCTGCGTCTGAGATGGAGTACTCAGGATGGGATCCAGACTGGTTAGGAAGTATAGACAGCTAGGCTTTGAACATGCTGAGTTAGAATTCAGAAGGGGATGGGAAACCTTATTCAGGCAGAGATCTGAGCCTGGTGCATGGGAATGATGAGGTTTTTGTCAGTTGCAGTCAGCCCACGACTGGGTGAGGGCAAGGAGGAAGGTGATCCAGTAAGTGACCACCACAGTCAGATTTGTGCTGGGGCCCTTCCTTTCTTCCTTCTCCTCTGCCTGCTGTTTATACTCTGTGCTTCCTCTTTTGCTGTGGAAAGCATCAGCTGTCATGTGGCATGTGGCTTTAATGTTCTGCTTACTGTAGCCCCTCTGTTCCCTTCTAATCTGTTTACAGTGTGTGATGGACTAGGAATTGATGAGGCAATTTGTTAGAACCATGTGTATAAATAGGCTCCCAGAAAGTCCCAAGCTGCTTGAGAACTCATCCTCTTGGCCTTTGGGGCTTGGCTTGGTGACATTTATTTTTGCTGGCATTTATGGCTTGTTTCACTATTATTCGCCTTTTCTGGTTAGGTGCATGGATGTCTTACCTCATACATACATCACATACAGAATAGGATAAGATGCTCCTCTAAAGCTTACTGCTTACACTGACTTGATGCAACCTCATTTGTGAGGATAGAGACATGCTTCAGTGTTGTCTCTGAGTGCAATGCCCCTACAAGTAACTTGCAGCATATGGCATTGTCCAATTAAGATACAAGGATGAATTGAGCAGCCCATAGGTCAGTTTTATGGCTTGCATCTCTCTGCTGAAGCTTGGAAATGCTGAGGAGAGAGCAAATGTCTTGTGTAGCGTTCTTTGTGACCAACTGATAAGACTGACCCCCTTGGGGGAAACAGAAGTCCTGCCCTCTAGTCCTGGGTTGCCCATAGATTGTATAGCATCTCTGATCCTCAGGAGGGTCACAACACACACACACATCTCAGTACATATGGGTGGCCCTGGAGCATCTTGGCAAACCCCTATCTAAACATCCCTGTGGACAGTCTCAAAAGGTAGTGGAAAGAATGGAATTCCTCAAATTGAAGTTCATGTCTGGAGTCTGGATATTCTGAAATCATATGGAAATCTACAGGGTGTGTGTGTCCAGGTGCATTTTTCCCTTGTAGGGAGAGATCCACAGAGTTCATGAACTCAAAGGAGCCTATGAGGCAAGAGTGATTGGTTAGAAAGAGGAGAGGTACAGTGAAAAGGGTGTACATTGGAAACCAGATCTGTTGCACCCCCCACCCCACCTTGTGTTTCCTCCTCCTCTGCAACATTATCTATACAAAGGAGTTGAATAAACCTTGACAAGTCACCTACCTAGCTTGTGCCTTGCTCTCTTCACCTGTGAAATGGGGATAAGAACACTGCACACTTCACAGACTGTGTGAAGCAGAAATGCGATCAGCTTTGTAAAGAATTTAGCCAAGTCTCTCCACACAGGCTGGCCATGAAAATATCAAACATGTGTGGGTTTCAGCTCATCCATAAGACAAGGTTTGCACTTCGGGTGTTCTTTACTGTCCCCTACAATTTTAAGTCTCAGAAAAATCTAGAAGGGAGGGAGGGTATGACTTCATTTCAAAAGTCCAGGTGACAGGGACGAAGGTGCCGAGCTCACCTTAGTTGCCCCGAGGATCAGGAGCCAATGATGTCATCGCCCCGACGCGCCTCCTCTCGAGGGGGCGGGTTTTGGCGCGGGTCCCAGACTCGACCCTGGGCTCCGGCAGCCCGGCTTGGGCGGCCAGTCGTGAATGGTGTCCCTTTGGGCAGAGCAGGCTAGCAGGCGCGCGGGACTGCGGGGAAGCGGGGAAGCGAGCGTGTGTGTCCTTGGGCTCCGGAACCGCCGAGGGCGAACGCGCAGGGGGCGGGGGCGGGGCGACGATTGTGAGGTCCAGCCGAGCTAGAGAGGCCTGCTGCCACGGCAACCGGCCAGGTGCGCGGGGCGGGGCGGGGCGGGGCGGGGCGGGGCGGCGGAGTCTCGTCTCCGCCCACCGCCCGCCGCCCTGCCCACGGGGTGGCCCGCTCCTGGAGGGGGGACCCCGACTAGGATGCGGGAGGGGGTC